ATATTGAGATCCAGCTGGTACGAAATTGTTTGCTCATGTGGTCGATGTTATGTTGGTAAGACATGCCGACCTATTCGACAAAGATTGGTAGAACAAAATAAATGCTTTTAAAGGAAGCTGGGTCCAACGGTCAGAAGTGGCAGAACATATGTTAGAAACTGGACATCAATGATGTTTCTAATTTCACTCAAATTCGTCCAAAATGTTAAATTGAGCTCATCAACCCAACCAGATATGTCAGATTACGCAACCCCAGTCATGCATTTCATTGGAAGGCTAAACGTTAATGACCCTTGACGGAAAGGTTAGGACAAGTGGTTTCGTAACTTGATTTTTATGCTTACATGTTCATATTTCATTATCTCAACCATACTTGATTACGGACCTTGGATCATTAGGTCTTGAGGATCAGAACCGGAGATTTAACCTTTGACAAGTCTGATTTAGGAACCGTATTGCACATAGACGCTAACACACAAAAATATGCATTCTCATACAATCAAGCAAAAATAACAGAACCAATATGAAAGAAAATTAACCAAACCATTCTGTATCTATCTATCAGGATTTTTAATTTTCTTTTGACTTAATTAAGTCTTTTTAAGAAGTAAGATAGAGCCGGATAGTGTTCTTGCTTTAGTGTTAATGTGAGACTTTTGCAAGAATGACACCCAGCTCCGATGATGTCCATCAGATGATGGATGAAAGCTCAGCACTTTTTCACCCAAAACGAGAGAGGAAGTTTCGTGGATTGCGTCAACATGAATATTGTCTAAAAGCCAAACGGCTGCAGTACAACGAGTTTCATCCGTCCTCATCTGGTCAGATCGACCAACGAATCTCTTCTTCATGCACCTTCATCAAAAATGAAGGTCCCCCTAATATTGTAGCATACATTAGGGACTTGTTGGCTCTTAATTAGTTTTTTATCTATTCTCTTCGGTATATGCAGTTTTCGAGAATATTCTGCAATTCCTGAGTAAGAACATAGTCAGTCTAGATCGCTTAAGATTACTTGAGAACTGATGATTGAGCTCTTTCAACACTGACTGCCTTGAATATTTAATCTGACCTGCGACTCACTAACACCCGGTCGGGTACTGATGAGATCCAGGCGTGGTTGAAACTGTAGTCGCCTGCAATTGAGAATACTTTTGGGGAAAAAAGGCCGAGTGAAATTTAATGGCATCCTAAAGCCTACGCATGTAATTGTGGTAAAAATTCAACTATCAGTCCATAAATCACTTTAAGAAACCTAGGCTGACTAAATTCTTATTCCAAAATTACTGTTAGTCTCGAAAACTATCTATCCTAAAAAGCATGGATAAAGAGCTCTCTAAGATCTAGCTAGTTGCTACAGCAATATCATCTATCGGCAATAGTTGCAATCATTGCCATAATACATAAACTAATCATATACAAGAATGAATTGCCCAGTTCATAAAGGTTGATTTTTCTCTTTATAACGTCATCTGATTGGAAAACTCCTCAAAGAGAGAAAATGGACCATTTCGTTCGGCCGTTATGACATATCCTCATCCAATTGTAGTCGATTGTAATGTCTTATATCTATTTGCCTCGTCGGCAGTCACACTGCAGCGTGTGATTTCGGCGAAGCCTGACCTGTCTGGAACGTCATATCTGCCATATGACACACAAAACCCATGTCCGTGCAGTGGAGTGGTAACGTCGCCTGGATACTTACGACCCTAATCGAATCTCGTTGGGATGCTGATTAGCAGATGAAGAGATAAGGAATCTACAGTTCAACCTTGAATGTGATAGCATTCTTGGTAGGCAAGTTTAGGGGAAATCCAATGGGATTGTGGGAAAACAAATTTATCAAATGTTATATCATCTTACGTTAACTAGAGTGAATATGCTTTTATGAAAATATGTATATTAACAAAATAATGATTAAAAAAATCATTTTATATTTGTCTGCCTAGGTTTTGTGCTGAGGAGAATTTCATTTTGAATGAAAATGCATGATGAAGAGATTCGAAGGTCGATCCCATCAGAAGACGACTGCCGAATCCTCTTATACTGCAGCATACAGACCCAATTTGATTTAAAGCTGCCCTAACCAATGCCAAGGGAAATTAACCAAATCCTTCAACAGCTGAAGAAAAGAAGGATCTCGAGGAATCGTCACTTTCGCTTTCAGTGCAATTGTTTGGTGAAGCGACTCGAAGGTCGATCCCACCTGAAGACGATGGCGGATTCCTCTTTAATAGAACAAGTTTTTTTACCTTGTTAGCCAAAATACGGTTGTAGAAATGGTACATTTCTTTATAGCGTTAGTCATATGACAGACAAAAGCTTAACTTGTTTATACAGGACTTGAAGGTGATTGCCTCGGTAACAGCGTAAACAACAATATTATAATTAAGCCAATCAACAGTAAATCTACAGCACCTGCTATTGTCTCCGGATGAGATTGAGCTTCTAATCTCTTCAACATCCACTTTCATACGAAATCAACGTCTCCCCAACCATATTATTCGAGGAGATTCATCAAAATCTGGTTATTCGTCGTAATTTACTATTTTATGTTATTACCTTTTCTGTTGTTAATACATACACCATTTAATGTATAGTCGTATTGTTTGTTTTGAACCGAGAAAGTCTATCATGCCTCGCAGGAGAGTTGATTTTAAAGACAAATATGAGGTGTGGTTCTGTGGAAAATGAGTCAATGGTTGAATATTCTACAGGCCTAGAAGATCAGAGTAATTAATTCTTTGTAATTCATCAAAAGTGAAAAGAATGTGAATAAATTTCTTCATAATAAAACTATAATAATGGCAATAACGCCTACCGGGGCCCATTCATTTCGCATCTTTTCCAATGCCTTCTCTAGACTGTGCTCTTTGCTGGCGGCTTCTGAGATCCCCTCGAACTTTGCAATGTACGGTTCCAAATTCATGTCGACCAGTTTGGCCAAGCACATTCCCTCCTCGTTGCGCAATGTGTAGCCGACAATCTCGGAGATCTGCGCCCAGTGGCGCTCGCGAAGTCCAGGGTTAAATAGGGTTGAAATTAACGGCATGTGCTCACGGAACTCTTCCACTTTTCCGCGAACTTTCACCGAAATCTTGCGTGGAGCTGGCAAAGCTTCAAATGTTTTTTCCAGTTTGTATAGACTTCGGTAGTAATTGCCCACGTCTATCTCCACCTTGTCCGGTTCCACTTTGTCCATAGACCCCTCCATCCAACTCTTGTACTTGGTGTTAAACTCAACAGTGGTCTCGTAGAGTTTGAGGAAGGGCTTCAGCGTTGACTGTACTTCGGCACGAAGTGGATACGAAGTAGTCTCCCACTTGAAGGTCTCCTCTTCTTGATTGAAAGCCTCAATCTTGGTCATCGCCACGTCAAGTTTAGCGTCCAAAGCCTGAGCCTTTTTCAGATATCTGCTGATCTCGTTTATGTCGCCCAGGCTCTGAAACTCCTCCACATGCCGTCGATAGGACTCGATCTCTTCGATGAACCTTCCACGGCGATAGCGTAAGTTCACTTCAAACTCCTCTCGCTTGGTGCGCATTGTGTTTCTGTGCTCTTCGAAGACGTCTGACATGCGAGCATGCCATTCGAATACTTGACTGTTAATTCGCATGTCGGAAGGATTCAACTGAGCATGGTCCATGAGGAAGAGTAGACGATCACGCGACTTGTCCAGCTTCCGCTCAAGGTCATGCATAGTGGATCCCTCGGTGGTGCTGACAAATTCGATGAGAGACATCATGTTTGCAGTGTCCGCCGGCACTGTCAGAGCTTTGGAGGCAATCGTTTCGTACTCTCGAATCAGCCTGAAACAGACAACATCAACCATGGTCCATGATGCAAAACAAAATAGCAAAGGAGAGAGAAATAGATAGAAATAGAGAGAGAGAGATAGAGACAAAGAAAGAACGAGGGGCAAAAAACGTATCATATTTCTCGGTTGCAGTGAACTAACTTTGAAAAGCGTAAGAAATTAATCTACTCGCCATTTACAAAAGTATAAGGGTCCAAAAATATGAACTGGCTAAACATGTGGTTAATACATAACACGAAATAGACTGGTCCAAAATACATCGTTTTGCAGGCTATGGGGATTTCACACTCAAGCGTAATGAGGCTATAGAAACCTACAGAACAGCCATCATCCTGAAAGAAGTAGGAAGTATAAAAAATTAACGTGTATGTTTGGCAGACTCAAAAGGGGACAAGAAAAGAGAGGACATGAATAACTGGCGAGTAAGAGAAATTGCAGGATCCTACGTTGGTTGAATAAGGTAAGAAAATAGCTGTGATCATATTTACTCATTTTTCATGCATCATATTCATCTTGGTTTATTGTATTTGGTGTGTTTTTTTTTAGTTTACGATGGCTTCTCGTCATGCCGGTATGGAGCAAGGCTTAGCACGAGTTCATTGGATG